GCTTGAAGGCTTTAAGTCCAAGTTCAAAGTGCCAGGCTCTAGGGACTGGGTGAAAACCCCTCGACTGTGGGCTTCAGCTCTGCCTCCTGCTCCTGACCCACTGAAGCTGGAGGCTTTTCTTCACTCAGCTGCTGGCTGCTGAGGCTGAGAAACCCAAGGTTGACAAGTAACAAGGCACAGTCCCCATATTACCAAACCACACCGCAGGCCATTAATTCAAGTCCATTAAAAGTCTCAAGATCGGCAGAGCATTCAGGCTGCTGAACAACGGCTCAGCTACATGTGAGGTTTAAGTGTGCCACAAGCTAGAGACCATTCCCAAAGCTCCTTCTTATATAGGGGAAGCTTACCACATCCCTAAAGCAGCTACTCAGCTGCTTGTGGTAGAGCCCACCATGGAGTTAATTGCCAGTCTCATCATGGAGAATAACTACCACCAGCTGCCCAGCCACTCAACCAGGCCCAGCCAAGTTGACATACTTTAACTATCATAGTACAGTATGATATAATTATGTAAAAACAAATAAAACAATGACATATATTTTCTTTTAGAAATTATTTTGCAATATTTTAAATACACAAAAATAATAAAACAATGAGCATTCTTGTACTTGTCACCCAGCTTAATTCTCTAGATATTTTAAGAGTACATGCATAAGAGACATAAAAGCAACTAGTTTGGTCATGCCAAACTCAGTGGTGGTTAACTTGAGGGAGTGGGGAGAGGTCAGCATCAGGTATGATAATCAAAGAATCTTTAGCTAAATCTGTAATGATTTAATTTTTAAAAAAGAAGATTATATTTATGGATTACTTGTGTGATCGAAGAATGAAGTAAAATAGGCTTGTTGCAAATTTGTATTGCTTTGGTCTTAACCATTTAAATTGAAACAATAACTATGGATCTCTCTTTCAACTGGAAAGCATCCTTGAAATAAAACCAATTGCCACTGAGTTGATTCTGACTTATGGTGATCCCAGGTGTGTCAGCAAAGAACGGTGCTCTGTAAAGTTTTCAGTGGCTGATTTTTTTAAAAGTAAATGACCAGGCCTGTCTCTTAGTAGACTTTGGGTTGACTCAAACCTTCAGTCCTTTGGTCCCCAGTCAAGCTTCTAACCTTTTGAGACCCTCAGGGACTCTTTTGAATTCTCAGCACACCCAAACTGACTTTAATTTGGTCCAGGGCTTCAAACCAGTTCATTCCAGGTAGACCCTCCATTGAGAATTTGCATTGAGACATTCTGAATCTGAAATATCTAGGGTGGAAATGCAAATTCTCAGCAGGGAGTCAACCTGCAATGAACTAGTTCAAAGCCCCCATTTGGTTCTTAATGAAGTTTGGGGCTTGAGCCTTCTTGGGTAAGCTGCTTGGTTGGTGTTAATAAAATTAGGATTCAAATAATTTTCAGCTCTATAAACTAAGCAGCAATTTATCAGTGGCTCTCAACCTTGACAGCATATTACAATAACTTGAGGGCCTGAGGAGCTTTGTCATGGGCCCCATATCAAACCAGTAAAGTCAGAGTTGGCAGTAGAATTCTGTCTCTCTTTGTTTTTAGGAATAATTATGTTTTTGTTTTCTGTAATTGATGTTGTTGATGGTATTTGTTTTTCTTCAGTTAAAGAGAGAGAGAGAAAAAAAGAACGGTGTAAGTTCTATGATGTGTTATTTCCTCTTAGCCGGTGTCTTCAACCAAACTTCCAGCTTACATTTACCCATGAAAGTCTCCTGTTGCCTCTTTAGAAGGCTTCTGTTTCTGCACTGTGGCTGATCTTGCTGCATGATTAGTCAACCCCTGCTTCCTCTTGACTCACTTTCTCAGCTCCTGTCCCTGAGCCACTTCCTTTGTACTTCTCTTCCTTGGCCTTACTTTCTAGTTTCTTTGATTCATCCCTCCGCTCTTCTCTCTCCCAAGGTTGGTTCCTCATTGTCCTAATGCTGAAGTGCTGTTGCTGTTAGTTGTAGTTAAGTCAGCTCCCACGCATGGCTACATGTACAACAGAATGAAATGGTGTCCAGACCTGTTCCATCTTCGCAATCCTTGATATGTGTGAGTCCATTGTAGCTACTGTGTCTGTGGAGTGCCTTCCAACTTAAGAGGCTCATTCATCTTCCAGAATTACATTGGGTAACATTTTGTTGTGATCCATAGGGTTTTTATTGGCTTTGGAAGTAGGTGGCCAGGTCTTTCTTTCTAGTGTGTCTTAGCCTAGAAGCTACGCTGAAACCTGCCCGCCATGGGTGACTGTGCTGGTATTTGAAACACTAGTGGCGTAGTTTCCAGCACCATAGCAACATGCAAACAACGCAGTAAGACACATTATAAGACAGGTGGTGGAAGGCTGAAAAGGATCCTTTTACGGCATCTGCAAAGATATCATGCATTTTTTTTCTCCTTTTCCCCTTTTGTAAAACTTTCCATCTCTGACCAGAAAAAGAATGAGCTGAACATCCAAGAAGAAAGCTTGCATTGGGTATCGCAGTGGTTCAGAAGTAGACTGGCAAGCTTGCAACTGTGGAGAATTGTGAGGTGTCATGGAAGGGGAGCAGACTCTGCTTTTCCGTGAATCTATTGAGCCGCAGTGCTCCTGCTCCATGGTGGTGTCATGACTCACAGAAAGGTGAGCATGAGATACATCTCTGAGTGTGACCTGGTTCAGACATGTGCTAGAGCCTCTCTGCCTACCTCTTAGTGTGAGGGAGCCATGAGCAGTGCACACTGGCTTAATGTTGCCTCTGTTCAAAAGCTCCATGGAAGCTGTCATCTTCCTACCAAAACATCAAGCTTCTTGTTGTTGTTAAGTGCCGTCAAGTTGGCTCCTGCTCATAGCAACCCTATGTACAACAGAACGAAACACTTCCCAGTCCTGTGCCAGCCTCACAATCCTTGCTATACCTGAGCCCATGGTTGCAGCCACTGTGTCAACCCACCTTGTTGAGGACCTTCCCCCTTTTCACTGACCCTCGCCTCTACCAAGCATGAGATCCTTTTCCAGGGACTGGCCCCTTCTGACAACATGACCAAAGTAGGTGAGATGGAATCTGGCCATTCTCACTTCCACAGAGCATACCAGTTATATTTCTTCCAGGACAGATTTGTTTGTTCTTCTGACAGTCCCTGGTACTTTCAGTATTGTTTGCCAACACTACAATTCAAAAGCATCAACCCTTCTTCAGTCATCCTTATTCATTGTCTAGCTTCCACCACCCATTTGTCAGTTTGTCCTACTGTGGTGGTTGGCATGTTGCTGTGAGTCTGGAGGCTATGCCACCGGTGTTTCAAATGCCAGCAGGGTCCCCCACGATGGGCAGGTTTCAGTTGTGCTTCCAGACTAAGACAGACTCAGAAGAAGGAAGGGGCCATCCGGTTCTCACAAAGAATTGACCAGTGAAAATCTTATGAATATCAGTGAAAGAAACAGTCTGGTATATGACAGAAACGTCTAGCTAGTCCCACAGAAATATTTGGTATTCTTAGGGAAAGTAAATTTCTGCCAATCTCCTCAGCCCAGATCAGATCTCATCAGAAATCAACTTTATAAGATTTGTTTGAAATTGTAACTGGCATCCAGTATGTGTTCATTGGAAGGTTGCTTACCCCGATAGTTTGCCAAGAATGGTTTTGTGGTGTGTGTGTGTGTGTATGTATATGTATATATATGTGTATATATACACACACACACACACACACACATACATATATATTCACACACACACACATATATATATATATACATACAGGAGCTGTGGTAGCATAGTGCCTAAGGCACTTGACTGCTAACCAGAAGGCTAGCGGTTCAAGCTCATCAGTCACTCGTCGGAAGGAAGATGGGGCAATCTACTTCTGTAATGGTGTAATGGTACTGCCTTGGCAATCCAAGTCGGGTGCGACTCGACAGCTCATAACAACAAATATATATATATATATATATATATATATAGTTATATAGTTATGTAGTTGTTATATAGTTATGTAGTTATATGTGCATTTATACATACATTTAATGATAAAAAATAAAATCTTACATATGATGCATATGTACACACACACACACATATACAAAAAACGAAAACCAAACTCACTGCCATCAAGTCGGATCCGACTCATAGCGACCCCTCCTTGGGTTTCTGAGGCAGTATCACTACAGAAGTAGATTGCCCAGTTTTCCTTCTGAGGAGTGGCTGGTGGATTTGAACCCCCAGCCTCCTAGTTAGCAGTAAAACGCTTTAGGCACTACATCATCATATATGACAATATACAGTGAAACCTGTGAGAGGTGGAACTAATGAGACTGACTTGTTTTTCTGAGTCTCATAAGTTTTCCACCGCTGACAAGGTACAGTCTTAACACTTTTCTGTTGTTCTCTATTAGTGGAGAATATTTGAGTTTTCTTTCTCTGGCAGGTTTTGCTTTACACAGGTTCTAGCTTTTTCAAGTTTTACTGTGTGTGTGATTATATGTATTATATTCAGGAACACATATGTATATGAAAAATCTCAGAACATTTCCATAGTCCTAGAGGACTTCTAGGAGCTCTGGTAGCATAGTGCCTAAGGCACTTGACTGCTAACCAGAAGGCTGGCGGTTCAAACCCACCAGCCACTCCTTGGAAGGAAGGTTGGGCATTCCTACTTCCGTAGTGATACTGCCTCGGAAACCCAAGGAGGGGTCGCTGTGAGTTGGGGCCGACTCTATGGCAAATAACAACAACAGAGGACTTCTGGCTTCTTTAACTGTGTTGGGTCTCCTACCCAAATGAGAGGCTGCATCTCACATGTAGCCTTTACCCAAATCTGTGACATTCTCTGCTCTAGACCTTACCTTCTCCACTGTGCTAGGTGTCTTATTTTGTGGCCAGAAAGCACATGAGTGACACACAGAAATGAAAAGGTAGAAGTGTATTGGGGAATCAGGAGCACCATATAGCATTTGATTTAATATCAGCAGAACTTCCTTTGACTCCAATATGACTCTAACCTGTGCCATTTGATTCCAGGAGCTCGTGTAAATGCCAAGGACAACATGTGGCTGACTCCACTGCACCGGGCTGTTGCCTCCAGAAGTGAAGTGAGTGATATTTTATTTAACTAGTACTTCTTGACCCTAGAATGAGAAATATTTGTGCAGAGTTACGGATCTTCATTGGTGAGCAGAAGGCCTTTATCTTGGATGCAAGAGATGCATCCATCTTGGATGTAGACATGATGCTGGCAGTGCCTGGGGTAGAACAAGGTAGACCACATGATCCTTGACTTGAGTGAATTCTCAGTCTGGTTGGGGACGTAAATGGACAAGGAAATCAGTACTATCATTATTAAATTGGAAGATGAAGCCACTAGCTACCTACTTGAGTAAAGGAAGTCTTCCAAGAGAAGATGTTAGTTGGCCTGGTCCTTGAAAGATGCATAGGGACTCCCAGGCCAAGAGAGAGTGAAGGCTGAAGCAAGGGTATAAACATGTTGGAGGACAAGAGCCTGGAAGTGAATGAATGGGGGCTCAGTTGGGTGTAACTGTAACATGAGAATATAATAGAACCTACGTATGATGTAGAGGCTGGACTAAATCACAGAGGGCCTGGTATCCAGTGACTGTGGGGAGTAGTCATAGCAGAGGAATGATATACTTAAATCAGTATTTTAGAAAGACCACTGTGCTGGCAGCATGGAAATGGGCTAGAAGGAAGGGATTCCAGGCAGCGGCACCCACTACAAGGCCAAAGAGGCCTGAATAGTTAGAGACAGGAACATGAAGAAGAGTCAGTGATTTGAGAGGAAATTTGAGGGTGAGGTGGAAAAGAAGCTGAGTGAGTAGTGAAGCTGTTAACTCAGAGAACACAGGAGGAGGAAGAGCAGGAGGCAGAAAGCTAATCCATTTTGTCTGAGCATGCTGAATTTGGCAACCATGTCAGTAGAATGGAAGCTCTATGAGAGCAAGGATCTGTGTTTTGTTCCCTGATATATCTATCCCTAGCCTGATACATTGCAGGTGTTCAATAAGTAATTTGTCATTGAATGCTAGAAATTCAGGTGAAGATGGCTCATAGGCAACTGTCTGTACAGGTCTAGATACAGGTAGAGAGATACAGGTCTCTACAGCTCAGGAGGCAGGGCAGATGAACATTAAAACCGTGGTAAATGGGTTAGCTGGTTCAGGGGAAGTACAGGAGATGCGAATGTGGGTGTGGGGATGGCAGGAAACCCTGCTGAATATCAGCCTGGAAGCTTGGTCAGAGAGAAGGTCCACCATCCAGGCCTGTAAGAGGTTTTAACTTCGTAGGCACCTGGCGTTTGACAACTGGCCTTTGGTAGCTGATTTTACCTAAGTGAAGCTTACTCTTGGATAATGGAGAAGGTGATGTTCTTCAGGTCCACCTCGGAGTAAGAGGTGTTACTAAGAACGCACATGTGGAAATCATAGGTGCCCATGGTTAACATCAGGGTCAGCATTTCCTCTTTGGCAACTATATGGAAATTTCACAATATATGTGGTAGGTGACAGTTAACTTAGTGTCCATAATCTTCCTTACTGTGAGATATGAGTAGGTTTTGTTTTGTTTTAAGAGTTTGGTTGTATCTTCTTTCGGAATAGCCCACTAGAATGAGGGAGGTAAATGATCCTACGTTACTGGGCTCACACCCTGTGGAATTCAGAATCTTTGATCTGGCAAAACAGGTGCAATGGGCTGCTTTGAGTTTGCATGACTAGCTTTTTGACTCAGCAAGGAGGAATACTTCCTGGTCTTTTAAGACTGCTTGAGCTTTAGTAGATTTCTTTTAAGTGTCTCTTGGGAAATATCAGCTTTATTTCCTCTTTTAACAAGAACTAGGTCATTTTAGTTAATTTTTTTTAAATTAAATACTCTCTATGTGCCAGCCACTGTGCTTGATGACAGAGCTGCAAAGAAAAATAAGACTTGTGGTCTCTGCCCTTAGGAAGCTTGTAGTCTAGTGGGAGAGAAAGACACATGCACTGAAAAAAATACTGTTCTGGTTACCTACTACCGCTCTGACAAGAATATACCACAAATGGAATGGCCTTAACAAACAGTTTATTCTCTTACAGTTCGGGAGGCTAGAAGTCCTAGTTCAAAGTGTCATGCTCTAGGGGCTAGGTGAAAGCCCCTCAGCCTTGGGCGTCAGCTCTGCCTCCAGCTCCTGGCCCACTGAAGCTAGAGGCTTTTCTTCATTCAGACAGCTGCTGGCTGCTGAGGCTGCCAAGCCCAAGGTTGGCAAATAAAAAGGCACAGTCCTAATATTACCAAATCACATGGCAGGCCATTAATACAAATCCATTGTAAGTCCCAAGGTAAGCAGCGCATGACAGGCTGCTGAACAACGACATGGCTACATGCAGGGTTCAAGGTGCCACAAGCTAGAGACTATTGCCAAGGCTTCTCCTTATGTACAGGAAGCAGACCACATCCCAAAGGCAGCTACTCAGCTGCTTGTGGTAGATCCCACCATGGAGCTGATTGCCAGTCTCATCATGGGGAATAACTACCACCAGCTTCCCAGCCACTCAACCAGGCCCAGCCAAGTTGACACAAAAACATAACCACCATAAACACAGAAGTGCCATATGACCTTTCCAGTAATCTCACCTTTGTTAGTTCAACTAGTGGCAAAGGCTTCCTAACATACTCAAAACATCCATTTTCCATCATTCATCCATCTGTCCTCTTTACACATATTTAGTATGTTTGAATTCAGCCAATTCAGTGATTGATCAGCCTTCATATCTGAGAAAGGCATTGCTCCTTTTTCAAGTAACCAGCTCCCACTATAGTTTTGCTAGGGAAGAAAAAAAAAATTCCTTGCAGAAGTCTCTTGACTGGAAGAAAGTAAACCAGAACAAACCCTGAATAGGTAGGGATGGCAGCATGTCTTTGTGCTAATACCTGTCACAGTAAGTTGAAAAATTTCTTACGAAAATTGTAGTCTCTCTAACCATTGTTAGAGCTGTCTGTGCTGTGGACATCTTAACTTCAAGTACGTCGCTGTGCTGTGGAAGTCCTCATTTCAGATCTCCTTCTTTTGATATCAGTCCTATTGCCTTTATTTTATGCTTCCCCTAAATAATAAATGGGAAAAAACCAAATAGGCTTAAGGGAAAAGAAAAATCAAAGATTTGGACTGGTATTTGGGAATTTGGTTGTTAGTGCTTTCTAAGGGGGCAGGTATGTGGTTTCAGAGTGATTTACTTAGATTGGCAAGTACCCATATTACTTACATGCATATGTATTAAAACTATTTCTTTATTGTAAGGCTTATAAACTCTACTGTCTCAAAGTTCCCTTGCTTCTAAAGAATAGATGATTAATCACTCAGGGTTCGATCTGGGAAGCAAAGCCATAAGAGATATGGAATAAGAGATTTATTGTAGGAATTAGACCTTACACATTTGTGCAAACTGAAAAAAAAAAAAAAGTCTATGTAAGAATTTTGCCTCAGTCTCTATGGTGGCCCTGATGTTAATGAAGGTCAGCAGGGCCAACAGTTGAAAGTCAAAGCTAGACATGAAACTGGAAGACCAAGGGCAAGTCCATGTCTGTCTCCTCCTGCCTCCAACATTGAGGACATAAGTGACTTGCACAAGGAGCTGGCACTCTTTACCTTGAAGCTGTGTACATATCTGGCCCAGGAGTAGGAAACATTGGAGGAGGAGTTACAGGTCTGAAGAAGCATCAACAGAGTGCTACCCTGTGCCAGCAGGTGATCCAACTGACAAGTGACATTGTGTTCAAGCTAGAACAGTACCCTGCGCCCTACACACCAACAAGGCTGTGATTTCATTTATGTTTTCTAAAACTCATGCAGATTTCTATGGCCAACCCTAAACAGAACACTACAAGGAAGAGAATTCTGGGAATGTAGTTCAGCTTGGCTAAATTGACAGAATATAAGACTATTATTGAAAGGAGTTCTGGTGGTGAGGTGCCTAAGGCATTTCACTGCTAACCAGATGGTTGGCAGTTCAAACCCACCAGCCACTCCATGGAGGAAGACTGGGTAATCAACTTCTATAAAGATTTACTGCCTTGGAAACCCAAAGGGGTCACTATGAGTCAGGATTGACTCGATGGCAGGGAGTTTTTTTTTTTTCTTTTTTTCTTATTAAAAGTGTTATTCTTTTTTAGCTAAAAGGGCCCTTCTAGACTATAAATTCCTTGAAATAAGTGCCACGTCTGTTGCTTACCGTTGTATTTATAGAATCTAGCCTGGTGTTTGGCACATAGAATATGCTCAGTAAAGAATTGTTGTTGTTGTTTTTTATATAATTAAAGACTGAATTTTCGACATAAGCTATGATAACTTATTCTCTATAAATGACTCCACACGTGGAACTAGTACACACTACATCAGAATGCTAGTCTTCCTTGCCTGTGAAGTAGATTTACTTGAAGTTTGTTTATGGCGATGTATGTACTAGAAATCAGTTAAGCCATTGGAATCTGCAAAATCAGGGCCAGTTTTTAAATTGGATTCAATATGGCTATCAGTATAAATTGAAATTTGTGGACCATCTCTCCAGGAAAAGTTTATGATCAGACTTTTATGCCTGGAAAAATAATGTTCATTGCCAAGTTCATTCCTGAGCCTCTTATATAGCAAGAGAAGTATCAGAATAATAACATCGATTAAACATCTACTCATATCTAACGTTACAGAAGGCACTTGATGGACAAGGAAGTAAATCAAGACATGGTTACACCCCTTGAAAATTGCTCAGCACTGGTCTTGTTCTAGACATAAATTTCGAAGACTTCTTTGGTGGCTGATCAGACTGTGTTCTGTACTTCTAGGTAATTCCACATCCTTCTCCCACCTTCTCTCTCCCCAAATCTGGCACATCTAGGATTCTCGGGGAAGAAAGAACTTGGAGCCAAAACAAGATTGTCTCCCTATCTGCTCCCTCAGAGCCCCTGGGTGGTGCAAACAGCACACTCAGCTGCTAACCTAAAGGTCAGAGGTTCAGGTCCACCGAGACATACCTCAGAAGAAAGGCCTGCTTGATCCATTTCTGTAAAATCAGCCAGTAAAAAATGCTGTGGAGCACAGTTCTACTCT